GGGGGGGGGGGGGGGGGGGTATATGTTCCAAGAAGGAGGTAACATTGTGCGTTGAGGGAGAATAACGTGGCCCCCAGTCGCACCCCCTGGCCTCTTTGCGTTGCTACTACGTAGACGTCGGACGTTTACTACCAACCGTAAATTAAATACGGGCGCGATCGTAAGCCCGGTTTATACGCGAACATATACAGCGAGGGGCTGAGAAAAAAAAAGAAGTTCGGGGGGAGAGAGAGGGAGGTAAGTGGGTGGGAGATTAACGCGACGGGTGAGAGGGTATTAATGACGCGATAACCGAACGAAAGACCTAATTTTTACGCTGCTTGGGTTAGTCTCGTAATTGGGAGGGCTGACGTTGGCGGCGAGTAGAAACGGCTGGAAGTGGTCAGACGCACAAGAGAGATGACGCACTGGAAATGGAGGAAGGTGATATAACAGCTAAATAAGTTCTTTACCTGGAAAGCTAATGAACTGTTAATTCGTTTATTTTTCAGGTTCATTATGTAAACGGAGGTGAAGGAATATTTTTTTGATTCGAATAAGAATCTTTATGGGTGCGGAATGACAGGTTCTCTATCTCGAGGAGAAAAATCGTTAGAAAAGTAATGGGAAAATTTTAAACAAGTTGGCAATTTTGGAAATAAAGCACAAAAAAATTCTGGGTCTATTGGTAAATCGCGGAAACTAATTGAATTTTATTGTGTTGTGGGAGAATTTTTCTAACGCTGCTCCAGAAGTTCAACTAATTATTATTTGATAATCGTGTGATAAACAGTAATTACAGTTTTCGATTTTACAATTGAATTCAATTGATAATATTAAATTGATTGTGTCGGAACTGAAGATACTATTTAATAATGATTTTAAAAACTGACGTAAAAATCCCCATTAAAACCCTACGAATGCTTCAATTTCATAATTTCTATTCATCACAGCCAAATCAATTGAATTGATAAAAAAAAATTAAAGTAATTGAAATAATAAATCAATATAAATAATGATTTTAAAAACTGACATAAAACACCCCATCAAAACCCTCCGAATGCTTCAATTCCGTAATCTCTATTCATCACAGCCAAATCAATTGAATTAATAAAAAAAAAAATTTTAATTGAATTAATAAATCAACATAAATAATTATTTAAAAAAATAAACATTCAAAACCCCCCAAAACATTATGTATACTTCAATTTCCTAATCCCCATTGATCATCCCCAAATAAAATTGAAATAATGAATCAACATAACCACTGACTAAAAAAAAATAATCACTCAAAATGCCCTTTCCCAACCACTCTCTCGACGTCCAACGATCAGCCTCCACTCCCTAAAAGCATCCCTAAAATAAAAAACCCTCCAAACTGGAAACTCTCCGAGGGTAGGCAACTGTTCCCCCCTGGGACTCACTGAACACTCCTAAGGAAGTTCTTACTCAGACGTTTAATGCCACTGGTGACTGGTCACAGGTCCCACGACGATAAAGAGTGTTATATTGCCGATTGTAAACCGATACGTACGTGTGTAGGGTCTCCGTCACGCGGATTAGCGCGAGAATAATTGCGCCATTTCCCCGGGCCCCCTGCCCGCAACAAAATCCATCGGCGGAAACCCCCAAAAAACAATCGAACAACTCTATCTCTGCGAGGAAAAAAAAACATTTGACTTATTGGATCCCTTTCCCTTTTTTAATTTCACTAATCTCTCTCAACTCTAGATTTACGATGACAACCGAGCGATAAAGGCCCCGGTCCCTCGGATGAAGGCGTAAGAATCGCCGGGAAAAGTTTTCTCTTTGTCCTTCTGCACATTAGAGACTAGACTTTTCCAGCAGCACGCCAGTGACCCAGTCCTATCCCCTCACCCCATTCTCCCAAGTGGGAGCGAACATCTCCAGACAAAGAGTGGCTGCTTCTCCTTGTGTACAAAAATAATCGATTGCACTCTTGCCCACCCCTTGAGCTCCACTCAAACGGAAGGAAGAAAAAGTTTTCTCGTCTTTTTTTTTTTCTACGAACGAACAAAGGAGAGTTATAATGGGTCTTTGTGCATGTGGTTTGGGGGGAATTGTGATCGTAAAATGAGTTTATATGGGAAATCGATTTGCGCGAGTTTTCGGAGCCACGATGTGTGATGAGATGGTGGAGGGATAGAGAATATTACGATTGACTTTTACGAGAGGCTGTAATGAGCCAGTGAAATATATCCAGAAATTTGTACAATGGGCAAGAACTGGAGCGGGCGATTCGCATCTTGTGAACGTCGTCTCCCCCTTTTTTATGGGGAAATAGTTATTGGGGGGCGGAGGGAAATATTGGGACGGAAAATGTTATGGTACTCTTACTCTACTCTCGGATTTTCGCGTAATCCAGTGCTGCGTTAAGCCGCTTACGGAAAAGAAGATTACACGGTAATTGGTGGAAAAGAGGAGTGGAAATGCTCCTCGGGGTGGAAGAGGGAGAGTGAATTTTTGATTCTCGGAGGGAGGTGGGTGCTGAGTGGTTCGAGTGCACGTGCGGGCAGACCGCAACCCTCTGGTGGACTTTAATTATGGGCGGGCGGGGGAGATGCAGCGGGGACGATGCCGAGGCTCCTCAGTGATATATGAGGTGCAGTTCGGGGGGAAGTCATCCGGGAAATGCGGCTGTGTTAGGGGGTTTGCGGGGATATTAGTATTGCACAAACCAAGATCGTTGGTGTATTGTGAAAAATTTGGATTGGTTTGAATTATTCTCTGCTTCTGAATTATGAATAAATTATGAACATTGTTTGAACTTTGGGAAAAAGTAGTATTCTCGCATTATTAAACCGATTTCTGGATCAAACGACAAATTTTTTGTCGTGATGAATCAATAGTTTTAGGGGGAATTGATTGTTCAGAATTTATTGATGAACAATTGTATAATTTTCAAAATGTGCATTTTTTCAATTTTAATTTGGAAAAATTTGGATTGGTTTGAACTCTTCTCTACTCTAATTGTCTAGAATTTAATGATGAAAAATTGTGCAATTATCAAAATTTAATTTTTTTTAGTCACTACAATTTTTTTAGTATGTTAGAAATGTTTTTTAGAATTTAAAATGGAGAATTAAAACTATATTTTCGAAGTTTAAACGCCAGTATCAAATGAGGAAATGGCTAAATGACGATTAAATGACTTTCATTGAAATTTGAAGACATTTCGTTATTAAAAATTCACGATTTAATGAAAAAATAATTGAAAACAGTATCTCGAATAAAGAATCTTGAATTGCAAACAGTAACTTTCAGTTCAATTATTCCCCAAAAA